AAAATATACTAAATAGTCATCACATCTAAATGTGACTCATATCAGATCATTTAGTGTTGAGAATCAAACAGTATGCAGTATTAATAATGTCACTTGAATATAATTTCTAACTGATGGCATAGGTCCAGGAGGACATAAGTCCAGAAAACGAAAACTCTGGACAAATGAAAAATTTCCATGGTAAGCGCTCTTTGAAATGAGATGAAATAGATAGTTTAGTAATTGTTTTGGATTTTGCTTCCAAATACACAGTACGATAACATAAGAAAGACATAATCGTCTTCACTATCCAATAATACATGATTTTAATTTATTTATGTAAACAAAGAGAAGCAAAGTGAGTAATTTGATTTGTTTAAATAATTACTTACTGTAATAGAAAAGTTTGTATATTTGAATATTTTTATAAAAAAAAGTAAATTATTGTGTGTACCATAATTGACTAGCTTTTATAGTCTAGTCTAGTTTTGCTTGAAAATCAAAGTACTTTTTTTTTGCCATTTTTTAAATGCTCTTTTACAATTCTTTTCTGAGTTCCAGCGTTTTGACCCGATTCAATAATTGACCATGATTTGAATTAAAAATAATTTTTTCGTGTGATTTTTGATTTAATAATCTTGAGTACAGAATGAAGTAAACAGTCAGTCAATTACGTGAGGTCTCAAGGAAAATAGCCTTGAGCAGAAATAGTTTTTCTTTAGTAGGGCACTATATCCAAACGCATTTGCTTTTGCATTACAAACTAAATTTTTTTGTAATGCTTAAAATTTTAATTCACTGCTCTAAAAAAACATTGACAATAAATTTGTTTAATAAAAATCCGACTTGTAATTTTATAAACTAAAACTGCATTTCGGTCTTTAATTTGGATTTAAAATATGCATGAGTAAAGAGGCACCGATTCGGACCTTAATTCAGACCTGACCAGACTTTTACTACAATTGTTTTTCAATAATAATGAGCAAAAATATAACTCTAAAATAAGTAAAGAGCGAATGAAAATACATTAATCGTTAAAATAAACAAAATATTATAATGTTATTATGTTTGTTATATTAAAGTCACTAATTTATTATATTATGAATTAGCGTACACAAGGGGCATATGGGGCAGGGCCGTCTGAAGGTGTTCCGAAATAAATATTTCATATTAAAAAAATATGAAGAGTGGTGTTAATGATCCGCTGCTGAAATATGTAGAATAAGAGGACAAGTTTTCAAACAACGTGCGACGGAAAATAAAATATGTATGCGTATTAAAAACAAGTGTAATAAACAAAGCTATTCTACTCCCATGAACTCTGAAGATGAGGAGTTATCACAATAGCTTGAAAGCCAATTAATGGAACATGGTATAAAAAAAGCATTTTTTAAAAGGATTAAAATTTTAAATTAAAACAAATCACGAAGTTTCACTTTTACATGTCGTCAGAGATACTATCTTGTTAGTCTGGTTACAGGTCTGTTTAAAATTCTTTCTTCAATCAGAGTCAATCAGTCGATTGACGAAAAAATATGGTACATGGCATTATCCTTTTAAAAGCAATTACTTCCAAATAATTTATTCACAGTTCTTCACGCATCAGTTTAAAGCCACCACAAAAAAAAACTTGAAAAGATGTAGAGCTTTGCTCTAATACTTCCGGGAAGTCGATAGACAGAGATCAAGTTTTTGTGCCCTATGTCAAATTTATTAATAACGGAATTCCTCAAAACGGACCTTCACATAAAAACTAGTCTTTTATTTGCCTTCTCTGCAAATGGTAGTATTATCATTGTTTATAACAGATATGAAGACATTTAAGAAAAACAAATTTCTAAGTTCAAATCCAAATGGAAAGGCTCCTTACGAAAAGATATCAATGATGCATAATTATATATTGGATTAGAATTGTATAGTTTCAACATTACATAAATATATTAAGTAGTGCCTATACGTTAATATAATATAATATAATATAATATAATATAATATAATATAATATAATATAATATATTATAATATAATATATTATAATATAATATAATATAATATAATATAATATAATATAATATAATATAATATAATATAATATAATATATATTATAATATAATATAGAATATAATATAATATACAATATAATATAATTTACAATATAATATACAATATAATATATAATATAATATAATATAATAAAATCTTATAATATAATATAAAATAATATATATTATATGGTATGGTATATTATATTATACCATATAAAAAAAGTAGTATAATATAAAAAGTGTTATAATATAATAATAATACGATGTCATACATAAAACAATATTTATAAAGTAATATAATATATAAAATAATATATATAAAGTAATAAAATATATATCATAATATAATGTAATACATAAAATAATGAAATGTAATGTATAATATATAAAATAATATAATATATTATATTATAAATAATAATACTACATTTTATTATAAATATAATAATAATATAATAAATATAATATAATATAAATATAATATAATATATATTAAATAATGTAGTGTGTAAAATAATATAATTAATGTGTAAAATAATA